CAGTTGTTGGAACTCAGCTTAAGTTTCAAATAGATTAAAAACTTAGCTTGAAGTAAACCATCAACTTGATCACGTATCAATGCTGCTACAACAACCACGCATGTTCAATGAAAGATTCAGTAAGTTTAGAAACATTCTCATGATACCAAGTTAGAAGCCAATTTAAAATTGAATTAAGATGCCGAAAAGCAACCCCAAACTTTGCAAACAGTATAAATTAGTAATGATCATTATTATGGTGATTTTATTATTTTGAATGCTCTTTCTGCATCTTATTAAATCTTCATGGACATTTCCTCCTCTGATTTAATAAGATAATTTAATTCAGAAGACAGAGCTAATATTATGTCAAACAAATAAAAATATGGATGAGCACACTACAAAACACAAGTCCTTGGTTTTGCTCTGCGGTGATTTAAGTTTGCTCTGACAATGCTGAATCAATGCTAACATTATATCTCCTACTAAAAAGTCCAATGTAGAAAAACAGTCCCAAATGGTAAGTCTGCTCATTTGGTCACCTTGAAATTTTAAGACTTAATATGAACTCAGTCTGGAATGTGCATTTTTGAGTTTGTTTCAGATCGGAGGCAGGATTCCTTTTGTTTGTTTTTCCTGGCCGTGATAGAAGTGTCCTTCACACACTTGTAAAACTCAGTAATTATGTCCTGAGGGAGCTTACACTTAGATTTAAAAAAATTTTTATTGCACCATGCTTTCCGGGTTTCACCACTGGTGGGAGTGATTCGAAAACTCTAGCTCCCCTTTTTTAAACTGTCAATTGTAAACATGTACGTGCACATTAAAGAATAGTAATAAAATTAATAACTTTGCACTATAATCCCTAGGCTCACCATCCTATTGTTTCCTCCCCCTTTGCATCATCTCCTTCCTTTCCCTTGGAGATAAGCACTACCTTGAATTTTGTATTAATCATTCCCTTACTCTACACTTTTTCCATCAACGTAGTATTTCTAAATAAATATGTTTTCAATTTTCCTAGTTTTGAAATTCAGTTAAATGGAATAATTCCATAGCATCGTTTCATGACTTGCTTCTTTTGCACAATATTATGTTTTTGATATTCATCCACGTTGATGTCAGTAGCTGAAGTCATTCACTTTTCTAGCTGTATGGTACCCGAGGTATAAACACAACACAGTTTATCCATTTTATTTTCAGATGGTTATTTGAGTTATCGCCAGTTTGAAGCTATTATGAAAATTTTGCTGTGAATAATCTTGTGTGTGACTTCTGCTACACAAGACAACTACTTCCTGGGGCAAACATTTAAGGGAGGAATTACTGGGTTGTAGGAAAGGCATCAGTTAAATTTTACTAGTTAATGCCAAATAAACTGCACCATTTACAGTCCCACCAGCTCAGTGTCGTATGTTCTGCTGCTCCTAATCCTCCCAAAGGTGGCATTGTCAGACTTTCAAGGTTGTGCTAAACTAGGAGGTAGAAAAGCTGTATCACGGTGTTATCAACACATATTCATCTGAATACTGATGACATGAACCAAGGCATTTTGTACTGATTGTATCTGTTGCAAAATATTCTCCTAGTTTGTGGTTGTATTTTTATCCTCTTTAGGCGTTGATACACAGAAAGGTTTTAATTTGAATGTAGCAAAATTTATACACACTTTCCTTTGTAATTTGAAAAATTTTGACCCGATTAGTCTAAAAAAAAATTTCTTCCCTACTGTAAGTCAAGCTTCTAATTATATCATATTGCATGCAAATGACAAATCATTATGTAGGACACCTGAAACTGACGTATTGTATGTCAACTATATTTCAATAAAAGTAAGTCAATAAAAACCACTGAATTGTTTTTTAAATTCCTAATAATAAATTTATAATTCTATACTATGTTCTGTAATATTTAACCCACCTAGAATTGATTTACATGCAGACTCATGAAGTAGAGATGCAATTTTATTTTTTTCCCCATGGATAACCAATTGGCCCCCAAACATCTACTGAATAGCCCATCTGTCCTCCCTGATGAATGTTGCCTTTGTCATTTATCAAGTCCTCTTTTTCTCTGATGTACTGCAGACTCATTCAGATATGTTTAGTTTTGTTGAAAGCCTTTGCATAGCAAAGTAAACCATGGACAAAAGGAAAAGACAATCTACTGAGGGGGAGAAAACGTTTGCAAATGATATGACTGGTAAGTGGTTAACAGCCAAAAAACATAAACAGTGCATACAACTGAATCTGTAAAAAATAAACAACCCAATTAAAAAATGGGCAGATCTGAACACTTTTCCAAAGACGTACAGATGACTGACAGGCACATGAAAAGATGCTCAACATCGCTAAGCATCAGAAAAATGCAAATCAAAACAACGAGATATCACCTCACAGCTGTCAGGATGGCTATCATCAGAAAGACCACATAAAACAAATGATGGTGAGGATGTGGAGAAAAGGGGACCCTTTACACTGTTGATGTAAGTGTGAATTTGTGTAGCCACTGTGGAAAACAGTTTGTAGTTTCCTCAAAACAACTGGAAATGGAACTACCATATGATCCAGCAATCCCACTCCTGGGGATACACCTGACGAAAACAAAAACACTTTTCAAAAAGATACATGCACCCTGATGTTAATAGCAGCATTGTTTATAATAGCCATGATATGGAAGCAACCTAGGTATCCATCACCAGATCAATGGATAAAGACGATCTGGTATATATATTTATGTATATAGATAGTATAATATATATAATGGAATACCTTTCAGCCATAAAAAGAATAAACTGTGCCATTTGCAACAACATGGATGGACCTGGAGGGTATTATGCTTCGTGAAGTATGTCAGACACAGGAAGATGAATACTGTATGTTATCACTTATATATGGAATCTAAATGATCAAACTAATGAATATAACAAACATGAAGCCGACTAACAGATATAGAAAATAAACTACTGGTCCCAGTGGGGAGAGGAAAGAAGAAAAGCACAGGATAGGGTTAGGGAATTAAGAAGTACGAACTACTATGTATAAAGTAAATAAGCTACAAGGATGTATTGTACGGCCCAGGAACATAGGCAATATTTTACAGTAACTATAAATGGAGTGTAGTCTATAAAAATTTTGAATCACTATGTGGTACACTTGAAACTAATAATATAATAAATCAACTATATCTCAATAAAAATATATGTATATATATCATTAGACATAAATTGCAGATGTATTATAGAATTAAATACAAATGAATGCAACATAAAAAAAATAAAATGGAATTGATTATTCAAGAATTAAAAAATACACTTAATGTAAAAATTAATATAATTTTGGATCCTATGGTTTCTCTTTTGTAGAATGCTTTAGGATTACTGTGTCTGAGAACTGATTAGTGTCTTAATCATTCCAGAAAAAAAAAATCCCTTTTTCACACTCATTCTATTGTCCTCATTTGAAATCCCAACTGACCATATAATGTCTCTTACGTATTTTACATTTTACATTCTTTTATTCATATTTCCCCATTTCAAATTCTCTAGACTTATTTTTGGATACTTTCTTCAGCTCTATCTAATCTGCTTTTAAAGTCATCCACTGAGGGTTTTTCTGTTTTGGTTTGTTTGGTTTTGTTTTTTGTTTTTTTTTAGTGTTTTGTTGATTGCTTAGAAGTTCTTTGGTCCTTTTCCAAATCTAGTTGTTTCAGTCTTGGGGTTAAAGCTTCTCTTTTGTTTCTTTAATTATATTAAGCATTGTCATTTTGATCTTGTGTCTGATTCTTTTGATATCTGACAATACTCCAAATCTGTTTTTCTTATCTCCTATTTTTACTAACTCTTACTTACAGTAATTTGTTTTCCTGTGTGTGTGTATGTGTGTGTTTTCCTTGTTTTGTTTTGTTTTTAGTATTAGCCACTCATTTTCTAGAGAACTTTATGGAAGCTCTTTAAGGAGGCAATTGAAGTTGACTTTCTTCATGAAGGGACAGCATTTCCTAGTTTTCTATTATCACTGCTAATGACAGAGCACTTAGATTCACCAATTAAGTTTTATTTGATCGATCTATCTATCTATCTATCTATCTATCTATCTATCTATCTATCTATCATCTACCTATAATGTGCTTGATACCTTCCTCCCTTTCCTGAGTTTAGTGATATTAGTAGCTTTCAAAAATATTCAACACTATATTTTAATAATTTTAATCAGAAAGGTCACTTGGAGTATCTACTTTGCCAAACTAGAAATATACTCACATTTTGAAGCTGTTTTTCTGTATTTTTTAACCCATAGTTGATGAACTAATATAAAAAGGCTGCCTTAATCAAGATTACTTTGCCAAATACAAGATTTGGGGGTTTATGAGGATGCATAGTAAAAACAGTCCTGGGATCTATCAGGTACTGGCAGAAATATAGCCAGGTGACCTCATTCACTCCCAGAGGTAGATCACAGATCGCAGAAAGCTCTCAGTACCAAAAAGAGTACAAAACACCAAGAGCTACATTTCCCACAATTTTTGATGTCTCCTCAGTCTTGGGCTCCAACCTTCTAGCTCTGCCACATAAAAAAAAAAATCAGAAGTAACCCTGAGGTCTGAGGGTGTTCATAAGGAACACCTGTGCACTTCCCACAGGAAGTGGTCCAGGTCCTCCAATTTCTAGCTTCTTATTTCTTGCTCTTTGGGTTTTCTCTCAAACTGATTCTCATCATCACCCTTGGTTGACCCTGGTGGATCCAGGTCATTGACAGCAGGTTCTTTCCTTGGTTTAACCCTTTAGCTTTTTCTTTTCTTCCTGATAATTTGTCTTCCACACACCTTTTCCTATTTGGGGGTCATATTCTGTGGGTTCTTTTCCTGGGTCTGTGAGTTATTTCTAGTTAAGTTTCCTTCCTCTTTGAGCCACTGGCTTAGCTACATCTCTAAGTTATAGTAAGTAGAATTCAAAAGGGAATTTCTTGCCCTCTCCAGTTAAAGATGCATTACTACTCAAACAAGACTACTGATAGGGTTACCTGAATTGGTTTTCCATCAGGTGTCAGCACCTCTTCTGAAAGTTCCATCATCTTCAGGGCCATCAGAGCAATGGGTTTAGCATGGCAGAGGCTTTTTCTGTGGAGCCCTGCAGCAACACAGTACGCATCACCTATTGTTTCCACCTGCAGGAATCAGACAAATCAAATGCAAATGTATGATAATGAGCCAGAATATAAATGGAGTTATCTGCAATCACAAATGTGGCTGGAAAGCAAGTCAGCAAACCATCAATAAATTAAGCAATCAGACAACTGAGTGTAATCATAGCAGAGTTTGCAAACAGCCACAGTCAAATACTAACATTTCACTCCAGAGCTGTTTGTTCATTGGCATTATCACCATAGACAATCACTGGAACCAGAAACAACTAGAATATAAAATAATTATCCTGCACAAAAGTAAAGTTGTCACTATTTTGCCTAGAAGTTTTCCAAATAATGACTTTTTACAAAGCCACTCTCATGTCCTTTAAACCTTCACTGCGTTGTAGACCTTCACTGGAAGGTAATTTTCTCCAATTTTTCCCAATTATTCCACACCTTTTTTTAGTTTTTTTTAATTTTTATTTTCTAATTCAAGTATAGTTGATTTATAACATGCTAATTTCAGGTGTCACACTTTTTGATGTATCTGTAATTTGTTGTCTGTTTTTTTGTTTACTCTTAGTAGTTATGATACCTAACACTTCTTTAATTCATACTCTCTACCACTAAATGCATCAACTGCTTTACATAAATTATCTCATTTAATCCTCACACATACCCTAAATGGAAGAAACTAGTATTTGAGAGATGAGATATTGACACGCAGAGACCCAGCCATAATCCTACAATTAAAAGAGTTAGCAGGCACTTTCAGAGTCTTTCCAGACCCTGTTATAATTCTGCTGTCAGCATCCATTCTGAATGGCCATTGCTATTGTTAGATATTTTAAACATTTGCCCAGGGTTAAAACTCCCAGGATTCCAAAGCACAGAATTTGGTATAAAAGTTAGGCACATGAGTCTGTTTCTGTTTTGTATTTATGTTTTGTTTGTTTGTTTGTTTTTAGATTCCACATAGGAGCGATCTCATATGGTATTTTTCTTTCTCTTTCTGGCTTGCTTCACTTAGAATGACATTCTCCAGGAGCATCCATGTTGCTGCAAATGGCATTATATTGTCGGTTTTTATGGGGAAGTACATATAAGATCGTATGGTAGCTCACGGAGAAAATAACGTGACAATGAATATATATATGTTCATGTATAACTGAAAAATTGTGCTTTACACTGGAATTTGACACAACATTGTAAAGTTATTATAAATCAATAAAAAATGTTTAACAAAAAATTAAAAGTTAGGCACAACTCAAATACCTATTCACAACAGATCTGTTTTTAGGAATTAAGTAAAATTAAAAGACTCTATTTAACACTAAAGATATTTAAGACATAGGTCACTCTTACTAATGGAATGGTTGTTATGTAACCAATCAGAGAAATGATAACCTCTAATCAATAGTAAGGTTTAAGTTCAAGATTAAGTTTAAGGAATAGGTGATTATTTCCACATTCCTTTCCACTTGGCTTAAAAATTCAGATGTGTCTTTAACCATCAATTCTTATCTATTTCTTTTTCGTCTCCTTTAAAATGTCAGTAATTAATGTAAATTTTGAAAAGCAAAGAAAGGAAAATAGCACACATATACAGGTGATTCCTTATAAAACTGACCTGTTGTGTTAGCGTGAACTCACAACTTAAATTTTAAAAGCATATAATCAAATGTTATCACTTATGTTCTTCCATTAGGAATTTATTCCTTTGGGTTAATAAACCATTGTTTTCAGAAAAGAAAAAAAGTTAGGTACAACTCATTTCTAGAAGAAATTTCTTTAATTATTCAAAGTAGATATAGTGATAAAATTCTCAATAGTTCTAATATTTTAATTAGAAGAAAATAGTTAAATATGGCATTAAATACCCAATTCCAATATCACCTTTTCTGTCAATCCCTCCATGGTCCTTCCATTAGTTCTTAGTAGAAAAACTAATCCTTCTTTTACTCTGTTTCAACAGCACTTTCCACACCTCTCTTCTATAGCTTTCATCATAGGTTATAATCAATATGTATCAGTGTATAATCAATATGTCTCCCTGCTACAGGGCGATCTCTTTAAGAATGAGATCATCTCTTTTTAATCTCTGCATTCATAGTGCTTATGTTAGTGTCTTAAATATAGCTATGTAATAAATATCCACCAAATGACTAAAGTAATCAGCCGTGTATAACTATCACAGTTATTCTAATCGTTTGTTCACTTGCCCCATTTATTTTATGAGTGCCATGTAGACCTGTGTGCCATGTAGATCTGAGTAGGAAAACAAATTGCCTCTAAATGACTGGAGATACTTCTATCATAAATATAACAAGAATTACAAAATATTCTATTAGTTAAGATTTAACAGCAATAATTAAATCTCATGTGAATGCATTCTAACACTTTAATATTAAAAAGCTGTACTGCATTAAATTCTGTGAGCACTAACTTAGGGAATATGGTGGCAACACTTCCAAATCTCATGGAACTAGCAATGCCAAAATTATCATTTGATTATCAGAATCTTATCAGCAAACATGCATCAGAAATGACTCAAATACTCTCAGACCTAGGATGAAGTTCCAAATTTTCACTTGAAGACCTGCTAGCTGATGCCAGAAAACAGAAATTAAAACCATGCATTAAGAACAGAAAGATGACGCAATGTGAGTCGACAAAAGTTTTATTCTAAGGACTAATAACATACTTCCAAAGAATTCCCATTGAATAAGACACTCAACAAATAATAAACATCCAAAATGTGGCCACTGACCACGTCCCCCTAAAAGCACAATGTCCTGTGCTCATCCTCATATTTATCTCATCCTTTTGTGCCTCTATACAATTCAAAGATGTAGAATGCTGTTAGCTATGCAATTTTAAACTAACTTCTGATTTTCAAATATTAGAACATACAGGCAGTAAATCATTTGTGTGAACTGAATTATTTTTCAGTCACTCTGAACATGCGCATTCCTGGAGCATAACCTCTTCCTGGAGTCTCCATCCTTACGAAACTTCTCATTAGCATTATCTCCATTATTTTTTCAATAAAAATTTATTGAGTTCCACTAAATGTGTATTTCTAGAATTTGTACCACGAGAATACATAAAGATTAGTTATATGTTATACTCACTCCTTTGGTGTATACTATGTAATAGTACAGAGAAGATGAACAAATGTTACCAACTGATGTAACAAATGAATCTAATGAAATGCACCACATAAATACAAGAAATTCACATTAAAATCCATACAGTATCATGTAAGATTTCATAGCAATTACTTTCCAAATAGCTGAAGACAGACTAGCTATCAGAAACAACAGGATCAAGAACTAGGTAAGAAACAGACATCGGAAAACAATGATGTGAAATTCTCATAACTATTCGTAAACACCCAACATAAAGAAAAAAATCTAAAAGATGTTGTTGTCATCGTATCAGACTAGATCATGCTGCAGTTACAATATAACCTTCAAATAGTAATGCTCTAAAATAACAAAGGTGGGTTTTGTTTTTGTTTTTAATGTGGCTAATTCATGCAGGTTAAGGGACTGGGGTAGAGGAGAGAAACACTGAGCCAAATCTCTTCACTCCAAGAACAATACTAACTGAACCTCTTCATCTGAAGCTAATTGCCAGGGCAGGAGGAGAGAGGCTGTGATTGCACACTAGCTCTTAGAGCCTTCTCCCAGATACGACATACATAGCTTTTCCTCGTGAGTCATTCACCAAAGCGAGTCACATGACCATGCTTAACATAAAGGAGATGGGAAAATGCAACAAACCTTGTGCCCAGAGAAGGACCAGAAATATTTGGTGAATAGTAGTTAATGAGCACATGAATGAATACGTAATCGCTTAGAAATTTTCAAATAACTAGATGTCTGTAAAGTGCAAGTAATATATGTCTGTGATGTTCTTCTTTCCTTGCAGGTTTATTCAGCATCTTAACCTGAAAATCTTGGCAGAAACACTACCACCCTGGTAATGCAGCTTTCCATTGAAGCTCCATGCTTCACTCTTCTCCCTTCATTTAAGTCACTTGTATACACGTTCAGCAGAATCAAATGCTTATGGAAATTTTAGTGGATTCTCTTCAAAATAGTGTCAACTATGCTTCATGAGGAACAAAGAAAGTGAAAGTTTAATACATCAACTACAGTAGCTCTTCAGATTGTTTCCTTGAGTTAAACCAAAGTTAAATGAGTGGACAATATAAACATACTACAGAAATGCTGTCCAAAAAGTTGACTATGATCTGAATTCTTTTATAATTGCCTCAGTGTGTTTTTTTTTTCCTTAAAAAGACACCATCTAAAATAGTGCATCTCATTTATTTTCAGCATCTCCAACCTGTTCTTAAATGACATTAGATAAGAATAAAGATGACTAAATTAGGCTTGGAGATGGAAAAGACAGTGCTTATGCAAATGTCTGAAAAATCATACATCCTTTTCTGAACATAAAAGAGGAGCCTTAAATACCAAAAATATTACATAACAACTGTTGTCTCACAGAATATTGTCGCTTTTAATCAAACTTAAAGAATTTATCTATCTCAGTATATCTTCTCAACACTTCATAATCAAACTCCACACGTTATTCCAGAAATAAAGGTGGTATAAATAAACTTCTTAGAGTTATGCATTCACCCTTTTTTATTCATTTTAACTTTACTTTTTATTTTTTTACCTTTTTTTGAGTTACAGTCAGTTTACAATGTTGTATCAATTTCTGGTGTACAGCACAATTTTTCAGTCATAGATAAATATACATATATTCATTTTCACTTTTTTTCCGCTGTGAGCTACCACAATATCTTGTATATGTTTCCCTGTGCTATACAGTATAAACTTGTTTATCTATTTAGCTTTAGATTAAGTATTTTAAATAATTTATTTTAGTTCCTAATAGAATCTCATTCCCATCCGTCTCCCTCCCCTCCAGGCGAATGTTCAAGAAATATCTGGAAGGTTTCTTTGAACTCTGGGCACAGTGGGGAGGAAAGAGCGTGTGTGTCGTGGGGGAGGGTGGCG